CGAAGGCGAGTTCTTCAAAAGCTTTGTAAATGAGGTTTGTATCATGCATGCTGCTAGGTCTATGAAACTGTTGTTCTTATTATTATATGTTATATGACCCATATTTAGCTCAAGATCCATCGCAGAGTAGATGACCATCCCAACATAATTCGATTTCTTGGCATTAGCAAGGGTAACGATGAAAAGATTTAATGTGTTAGGAAATAGGCATGAGTATAATACTTTTTCGACCTTTCAATAGATACCGATGAAAGATACTTGATGGTCTTCGATTATGCCGACAATGGTTCATTGCGGAAATACTTATCGACGCCAGCCATCAAACTAGATTGGCCTGCCAACTGTCAACTGGGTTTGGATATTGTTAACGGACTAAGATATATTCATAAAGCAGGAATCTTGCATAAAGATTTAGTAAGTGCATTACTCATTAATACTTTGATTTTTATTTAATTTGGATTGTAATTGATATATTGTTTTCTTATGTTATCACAAGTCTTCGAACAATGTATTAATTTATGGGAAAACGGCTAAGATCACGGATTTTGGGACATCTGAAAAAGTATTACTGCAGAAGACTCACTCAAATCACCAAGGAACTCAAGCATACCTTGACCCTAGATGCTTTAATGACAATGATAATAAACGAGATGAAAAATCTGATATTTTCAGCCTTGGGATTATTCTATGGGAAATATCCAGCAGAGTATTTCCATGCAGTGAATTGGACAGTATATCAGACATTCAGCTATATAGGCTGAGTGGTGGTCGCCATGATGTAGTTCCAGGCACACCAGAGGAGTATATACAGAATGCTGGGACAATGAGTCAGAAAAACGACCAACCAGTGAGGAATGCTACTGTAGATTAAAAAAGATAATGGCAGAACTGAACATTACCAAAATGTGATTCTAACCAAAATAACAAGATTAAAGATCACTCTCTTTCTAATGAGTTGTCAGTATTATACAACAAGTTACTATTTGAGGGGAAATCTATGGAACAAACAGCTGATTACATCAACAATTGGCTGATACAAAATGATAATAAACAAGAAAGTTCATTGGCTACATTAAAGACTCATACCAATTGTGGACAGTGCTTTTGGCTGATTGGATTCTTCTATGCACATGGAATAGAAACAGAAGCAGATCTTGGACAAGCTGTTCAATGGTATCAACAATCAGCAAAGGCAGGCAATGCTACAGCACAATATAATCTTGGTGTTTGCTATAACAATGGGACAGGAGTGGAAAAGAATGTTCAAAAAGCAGCTGAGCTATATCAGAAAGCAGCTGAACAAGGACATGCCAAAGCACAATATAATCTTGGTGTTTGCTATGACAATGGGACAGGAGTGGAAAAGAATATTCAAAAAGCAGTTGAGCTGTATCAGAAAGCAGCTGAACAAGGAGATGCCTGGGCACAATGTAACCTTGACTTACTCAGAAATAAATAATTTTGTTGACTGATTAGAATTATTAGACTGTTTGAGAACAACATATTCTGGTATATGCTTTTTTATTTATTTTTATATTTGGCAGTAGGCTATTTATATTTATGTTCTATAACCACCAGATCTGATATAGTTAATTTCATTAATTTACTTTGATATAAACTTCTGTGCATAATCACAGACCTCTTTACAAGTATTCTTTTTTGTTGCTGAACTGAGTATCAAAAATTCTAATTGTATGATCTGCAACAAAAATGCGTCTAAATGTATACAATCTCCAAAATAGTTTAAAGTAGTTAAAGTGATTGGTGAAATGTAGAGTGTAGTTGCGTTTATATTTAGTGAAGCTTACCACAGGCATGTAGTTTAGTTTGTTCTTTTACCTATAGATTTTCATATTAATATGCTGCGGATTACAATTGACATTGTGAAAGATTCCTAATACGGTATAAGTGTTATCAGTTATTAATAGCATGCATCATTACTCATTGTACACATTAGTCTCTCATGTTTCGAAAAAAAATTAGACATAGTAATAGCTTATGGTATGCCTTTAAAGACGACAATGTCTCCCAGCGAATACGTGTTGAAGATCTTCCCGATGACGAACCCAGTGTTTATGACATTCAAAACAAATCGTGCTGCGAGCTCTTAAAGTAAAAGCCCCCGAAGACGACTTAAACAGTGCTTTATTCCATAAAATTTCGTCCAATTAAAAAACCTCTTTTAAGATATCAAATAATAGCCAGCATTCATACAGGCTTTGTGACTCGGGCGTTGGGGACATAGAGTGGGTAGAGTAGCATATTTAGTATGTGTTGTAATATAGTTTTACTGGGAACCCATTACAGTATATAACTAGAGAGTTTTTTTGTTCATAATGCTGTGAAGGTATGCTTTCATTCACAAGAGGTTACGATAGTCAATATCATTGATGGTTGTTGTTCTTATTCAATACGTCAAGATTGTAATCCAAGACAGTAACTTTGTAGTGTCAACAGCAAAAACACTATTTTATTTAGTATTAGCAAAATTAATGTCTATTGGTAAACTTGGAAACCATCGATGCTTCTTTTTTTTCTCATTGGAGAGTTTAAAACTTATACGTTTTATCACGCATTCTTGTCAAAATTCTTTGCTTACTGTATTACAATAGGTCACCGTATTTTTTTCCTAACATGAGAAACTTGTCTATCCAATGCTTAATAGACAAAAGTATTGTTACTCACTTAATAGGCTCTGTATTATGATTGTACAATTATAGAATTAAACAAACCTGCTATTTGAAGGTAGGATGTCAGGCGAAGCTATTACTGCTATTTCAGGCAAGGCCAAATTTTGATGTGGTAATTTTTACATAGATAACGCATAATTTGTCGAACGCGCTTATACGTAGGTATTATGGAGGCCAAAAAAGCAGAAATTAAAGAGCGAGCATAGAAAAAATTTTATTCCGAAACAGAAAGTCTTTCTTGCATAGCCTTGAAAACATAAATATTTTTATTTTTACTATGGCTTATGAAAATATATTATACTGGCGTACCGGTAATATACTTTGAACAATTGAATCAAGTCTAAATTAAATTGATCAAAAAACCTTCAAACTTTTTCAAATACTTTGTGACAGATTATACCGGTCAAACAATAATTACAAAAACAAATAGATAGATTTTGCATGCGTGTCATATATTCGTATGCTATACACGATTTAAAATTCAATGAGAACAGCTAACGGAACTAAAAAGGTTAAGTATACAAGTGTAATTCTCATGTCATAGTAATATTCTCAATTTGAAGACAACATTTGCATTAGGTAGCAAAAGTCCCAGTTTTCTTTTGTTTTTGCTTTCGTATTAAACCAATGCGGGCGATCATAATACGAGCGATGAATCAGACCAGCTTTTGTTATTCCCAGATTCAACCAAACTGCAAGCAAGGAAAGTCAAAGTAAACAAAGCTTTGGTAGGGAAACTAGCAGCCGACTTTCAAATAATATAATCTTGATTACTTTTGTCCTCATCATTGTTTGCTAATTATAAGTCTTTTCATAAGATCTAGAAAAACATTCACCCACACAAACGAGCAAGATTGGGTAGTATTGAGTTTGTGCATAAGGTAAACAAATCAAAAGTTATATATATTGTAGCAAGCCGAGAAAGAGAGAATACTGTACACTCCCCTGCCACAAGTCTCGATCAGATAGTAAAACATATTCGTTACTACTATGCAAGTACAATGATTTCGATATCGGTTTGAAGCCAATTGATTATACTTTTTGAAATACATTATCGATGATAACGCTACAGTTCGATGAAGTGTGTAGATAGATAGTTACACATATATACTGTATAATCATATATTTCCTATACTACGACTTTATTAAACTACAGTTTATAGAAACACTGTACTTCAAGATATTGTCATTATTTCGACAAGTATAATCAAAATCATTGTTACTCTGCATAGTAAATACGCCCACATGTTTTATTTTTGATCGACAGGGTTCGCTTTTTTTAATATGCTATTCCAAATGAGGACCCAAAAACAGCCGGATGTCCCTTGCGATCTTACCACAGCTTGTTCATGTATTTCCACATTGGACGTCTTTGTCGCATTCTAAATGCATAGTTTCTTCGCATAATAGTAGTGGTGTGGGTACACAAATTTTTGGTGGCGATAAATGTTGCAATTACGTACTATTATTCATCTCCGATGAGTTCCGAGCGTGTCGTCGTTCACTGATACTAATCACATTGTGTAATAAGCAATACCTGACTGAGCAGCTCGACTTTCCGATTTCTGCTTGGGTGTTCATACTTATAACTCCGCTATCTCTCCATGGTTTTATGTTGAACTAGTTACAAGAGATCAATCGTCCACTTCTATTCAACGTAATTTTCTGATAATTATTGTCCGCTGTTGCTAAACATGAATTTTGCCTGTTCACCTGACCGAATTACGATGTATCATCGGTATTAGTATTATTAGATGGTAATGATACTTTACTAACTTTACTATTACTTCGTTACAAAATTTGAGGGGTCAACCCTCAAACGTGTATGTTTAATATACTAAATGTGTCAGTTCATTATTTCATATCACGCATTTATGATCATTTATATAACACGGCCTTTTTTGTCTTAGACTCAGTATGACTTGAAACGCTTACCTCGATAAGGCAACAGCATGGTAATTACACTAATTCCCATATGGGGTAATCAATCTGCAGAATACTTCCACAACAGATAACAAATGCCCTCTATTGCCCCCCTTCGGCCATTCCATAAATACTCTAATGCATCCATTATATATTCCTCCTTAGGCTCACCGTACAGTTTCTGAATCTCCTCCTCACTCATTCTATCCTCCCTTAGCTTCGAAAAGTAAAGCAGCCTGGCGCTGGCTCGCCCTACCGACCCATTATTTATATTCAGTTCATAAAGCAATACATCCTCAAGACTTAGTGCTCATCTCGTAAAATATTATAAAAGTCTAGCTACTTTCATACAACAGAAACTGTCATCGACCTGTCCTCTCCTTTAATATGGCTAAGAAACAACGCAAATACAATGAAATAACTCCAAGGCTCAAGGCGTCGTTTGCAGGATTGGAGTTCCTTTACTTGCTCACTGGTGCGGTGCTGATCGTATTTGGTATCCGCTGGTTAATAACAGCCGACGATAGTATTCGAAGCTTCGTTGTCACAGAAAGTCTTCTTCTCGGTAAGTTGGTAGATCAATAATGTAAAGAATGGGGGAATAATTGGTCAAAAAAAAAAAAGTTCGCATTCATTGAAAGTTTACAAAATGGTTTCGTATAAGAAGTTTCATGTATCAGTTAATGACGTGTATACACTTCGACTCCTTCAAACGAATACTAACACTTTTAACACAATAGGTGGTATAATTGTCGGTGGATTTGTTGTATTATCATTCCTTCTCACTATCCCGCCATTCTTGAGTCCGTTGCGGCGAAAGAAATGGCTTTATGTACACGCTGTTATGATAGTGCTTACTATAATAGCGATACTGACCCTTGGTGCTCGCATCTGGTTTACAACTCTCCAAGAACGCAAGATGCTTGGTAACAAATGGGCCGCTTTGAATGATGAGGGAAGAGCTGAGTTTGAAGACAAGGTAACCATCATTATATACGACAAAGAGACAATTTTTAACATCATCATCGGTTATCTTGTAATTAGCATCTTCTTCCCTCCACCTTCTGTATACTCATTCATTCATACTTTTATCTCTTCTCATTAACTAGCTACAATGCTGTGGGTGGTTAAATGTAACACAGAACACAGCCCCGTCAAACTTTTGCACAGAAGATGTGCTAAAAGACCCAAACACAGCCCCATGTGTCAACAGTCTTACCTCGGCTTCTGATCATATACTTCGGGAACTATTCACAAGTCTTTTTGGATTCATCGGGGCCGGTATATTTGCTTTCTTTGCAACCGTCATCTTCATTCAAGCCATCAACGTCGAGCAACGATACGAAAAAATCGACGAGAAGAATGGTGCTAGCAGGCACTATGTATAATGCAGATGTACTTGGCACGAACTATTCGCAATCTACAAGTTATTTGCATATATATGCTTATACATATTGAGACCGAGCAGTAGGAATACGCGATCGTGTGTTTTGGAAAGAGGAGGGTATTGAAGTGAGAGTGCGATTAACAGTAAGAATGTTCCTTTACTGCATAAAATCCTGTCATTGTAAAATTTTGTATAAACAGGTTTTTGGCCAATTATTTAATAAATTTAGTATTTGATTGGATTTTTTCGACCCTGCAAGCTGGCTTGGCATCGCTTCTCGGTTTCAAGGGAATTACCCTCACCAAAAATCTCCTAATTGAAAGTGCGCTATTACCGAATAAGGCAATACATAATTAAACACCAATCAAATACACACCGACTTGAGATATTAATGTTAATATGGCCAATTAAGTTTTAATACTGTTACAAAGTTACTTTATTTGAACGATTACAGGACAGCACTTGTAACAATGAGAAAGTCAGAACTTTGTTTTTTTTTTCTTGCACACAGACAATAACGCACAAGAAATTACCGCGTTCTCTTAGACAGGCAATTTGAACGTTGTAATCAATCATTTACCATAACAAGTAAGCTGTTGCTATACATATGTTGAACCAAAAAAAAACAAAACAATAATGGACAAAATCATGACTGCTAATTCGTGCGATAATGCATTATCTTTAATTTGAAAGACAAGGGAATTATTCCGTCCATTTATCCTAATTCTTGTTATTATTATCATTAATCCCGTACTTATATACTGCACCAACATGTTTCATCGTAACCCTCAACTTTGCACATTCTCCATCATCGCTCATCTCGTTCGTCTAAACAAACAAACTTTAATCATCATGGAGCAGGAAAAAAAAAGCCATACTAGTCCTATTTTGACCACTATGTTACACATCAATTTACATGCTGTCAGGCGATATGTATGAATGTGACACCAGTTGCGATGGTCTGAAACCTCATCCGTCTAAGGGGAGCATAAAATTCACAAGTGTCATCAAACAATCCAAACAATTGATACGACTCCATTACAGAATTAATATCAGCTCAGTCATACTAATGAAATAGCTATGAATTTACGTCACCGGTTGAGTCACGCAAAATCCCCATACGGCAATGTGATCATAGCGCCACAGAAACGTATTATTGGTAAACGCCACGGATATTTTTTTCTAGTGTTACGCGAATCACAATAAGTGTATTATTCATATAACGACAAGCCAAAACAATGCAACAATCATTTAGAGACATTACAAATCAATTTCATATGAGCGAAATATCCGATATCACTATCGACAGTAACGACAGCACGACAATATAGATTCTCTCGTATGGGATATAATAATTCCCGACGATCACTACCGATGTCTATATCGAATTCCCGAGTGATTACCCGACTACAAGTATTGGTGAGAGTAGAAATAGTTGTATTATCCCTTCGAACTGTTTTCGGTTCGAATTTGGACCGAATTTTGATTTACTGACATATTACGTTAGACCACTGTCTATAGTCGCAGCCCGAAGCAATGGCATGTGATTTATCACATGTCATTCATTTACTTTTATTCAATTTTCAAAAGAAGAATAAAACATTTATTAAAGATAACTATAATAATAATAATCAGAATAATGTTATTTGAAAAAGTTACTAAATTTGATTGTTTTTCTCGTTCTGAACCTTTAGAACCGTCCAACCATCCATCCGATGCTTTGAAACTGTCCTCAGAAATTGCCGAGTGCTTTTATTTGCCTTAATAATATTGTTGGCAACAATTCACCAGTTAATGACTCAAAGCATTATTAGTGCAAATGATTTTTTTAATTGTTGAACGGTCAACATCGAGGTTAAGCGTTTTCATCAATTTTTCCGCCGAACAGTTGGGACGGCCCCGTTGTACAAACACAATACCTTTTTGTCTCCAGAGAGATCGTTGTGCACTTTTAGCATTAGTTTTTTTGTAAAATTGTAAGAGAAATTAATAATTTTATTAAACTTTAGAAGCGCGTTTACAAATTAAATAAAGCATATCAGATGTGACTATAGACAGCGGTCATTACTTATCATTAAAGCAAAATGTTTATCTGGAGCAGCATCATGGTCTATGAACCTTCGTTTTGCAATTCCATGGTTTGACACAATTGCAAGAGCAAAACAACATAACGGTAACTCGCTTTTTCATAAACGATAATTTTTTGTTATAGAACGCTCTTGAAGATATAAATAATAAAGGTACCAGAAGATAAAATACTCGGACTAAAGCCATTGATGGATATTCCTATACTTTGGTCACTCTGGTGCAACTTATATTCCGCTTTTTGGTTACTAATATTATCTTCAGCACCATTATCAACCTTAATTTCTTCAAAGTTATTGCTCTTTACGCATTTTTTCTTTGCCTTATCAATCCACTGTTAAATTGCCTCTGGTTGTTTGTTTTGTTTTGTTTTGTTTTTTTGCCGTGAAATTGTTCTTCGAGATAAAAATTTTTTATTGTAGATGTAGCTTTTAAATGCTATTTATTGAATGAAAATTTTGAAATCAACTCAAGAAATTTAGCTATCATTCGAACGGAGCTGTGGCTTTCTCCTATTTTGGTTAAATATAACGACAGTTGGTGAGTATAAAGAACTCATACTTGATGATAATGTGAATAAAATAATCGAAAGTAATTGGGACGCTTGAAATCTACGCTTATCATTATATACAGTCCATCCTGCCGATCAACTAGTAAAACATATGAAAAATATACCTCTATTGGCCGTATTTACTATGCTAATAACAAGAATTTTGTATAGTTAATTATGAAGCTAATTGATTGTAGTTTTTAGGTAAATTTGTAACAAAATGCCGAAGTGGTAGTATATAGATTAAACATATGATTACATATGTACCATCACTTCGATCGATCGATCGGCAGAGTGGTCGGTATTTTAGTACTGAGTTTCGTAATTTGTGTACGCGGCTGTGTAGCAGACACACTCCGGTCAGGAATATACGTCATAATTTAATATATTCTCACACCATATACAGTGAACCCTCCATAACTCGGGAATGAGCTGGAGCATTTGCAGAGGGTCAGCATTTTATTAGTGTCACGTGACTTGATAACCATATTAATTAAAGATGTTCAAATACTATTGAAAAAATTCATCTTTTTCATTACAATCACAGACTTTAGACTAATGTAACGCTCCAACACTCTCACATGTTTTAACAATTCGTTGGAGTCTTGTTGCTGCAGAAATGAGCGAACGATTTTTCATTAACTATCGGTGCTCAATGCTATGATCAATATCACCATCATCAATATTACCATAATCGATACATGATTGTTTGTATATTTCAATATTTGATGATAGTTTCTTTAAGCGTCTATTATTAGCAACAGACAAAAATTACCTATAACGCAATAACAATACTTTACACTTCCACAATGATTACGAAATTCTTTATCTGTTACTGAAATTAAGACAAAGATTCAGGATAAAGATCACGATTCACTTGGCCCGATAGAAATTGACCCTTGTTGAATTTCTTTCAAACATATCAACAACGTTTATTAATTGACGTAAACCACGCATTGCCCTCCCAATCGTCTCGTACATATCCAATGTGACGTAAGTGCAAATCACATGAAAAACACATGGTGGGAACTGGGAATGCATTTATGGAGGGTATGCATTTATCTCTAATTCCCGAGCTTGGAAATAAGGCGTGCATTTATGGAGGGTTTACTGTATTATTGTTTGGCAGATCATTACCCGTGTATTTTTTTTTCCGCCATCATTTTGTTGATGACCTCTCGTGAAAAGTTCTTCGCGATAGTTGATAATCTTTCGTGTATTTTTTAAACGCGTAATTATCATTATTTTTCTTTCATAATGAACGCGATCCTTATTCTATGAAACAGAACCCGAAAACTGGCTTTTCATCAACATCGGCAGCTTCGACCAGATTTTAGTAAATCGTTTCAAAAAGAGGCTTTCCTGTTAAGGCAAGTGCTCTTTCTTCAAAAATAATAAAATTTGTTTTCCTACCCATGGCTAAGGATGACAATTTTGTGCCATTATCTTATGATCTTCGTGTTTGTTGTGGTTTCATGGGACTGGTATTAGTCATCTTTCCTGTGAGGTGGAGCAAGCTTCGTGTTCGTTGTTCTGCCTTGAATGAGCCTTTTCTACCAGTTGATATGATCTATTTTTTGCCTAATGTCATTTTTTTTGATGAGATAGAGAAACATCATGCTAAATTTAAGGATGTTAATGTCTTTTAGAGAATGATTGAGTCATTGTAGACAAAAAAGGTGAACTGGTTTTTGGGAATGTAAGTAGCTGCAAAATAGTTTATGACACCAGAATTTATTTTCTTAGTTGATACACAGTGAACCTGGATATAACGAAGTGGTCCGTTCCAACCTTTTTCTTCGTTATATCCAGGTTTCCTCTTTATAAAGAATTCCTATTCAATTTTGTTATAGTTTTGTTAAAGCAGGTTACGATATAAATAATTAATTTTATTGATCAGACAGAAAATTTACTGTATACAATATAAAGAGCTACGCATCGAATGTCAAATATTCCTCGAGAGTGGTTTGTCGCGCCAATTCTGCACTGGTTTGAGTAATCTTTTTTTAAGTGTGTTTATAACAGAAAAGTCAACGTTCAAATTCTTTTGCGCAATGTATGCAAGCACGTTATCACACCACAACAACGCTTCAGAGCTTGTTACAATTCGTTCTTCAGAAGGTTCTTCCTCTTCTAATGTATCAATATGATTAATCGTATCTACAATCTCCTGGAATAAAACGTTTTCGTCAGTAGAAAAATAAATTTCTTCGTTTCTATCGATATCTATGTACTCTTCTATGTCGATTGGTTCATCCATTGGCAAACGCTGAACAAGATCTGCTATTCCTCTTTTAACCACTTCAATTTCTTCTGTAGCGTACGTCCCAGGGATTGAGGGTAGGGAAACTGGTAAAATATCCGCGCAAGTCCAGGATAATATAACTGTTCGCATTGTTACGCAATCCCATGCTTTAACCACGAAGTTAATCGCATCAAGGATAGTAATTTTTGGAATAATCGTTGGGTCATTTAATCGTTTGTCATAAAGATGGATGAGATGTGAACATAGTAATCGCCCGATAATGTACCTAAATAATAATAAGTAAATTAAGTAAGAAATGAAACTTATAATTAAAAATAACGTTTTACAGACCTTGAGACTATAAATAATTCCTTGGTCGAGTGGTTAAAGTTGGGTCGACGTATTTGGGGGTAAAAAATGAAGTTTGACATTGGATAATTCGAGATCATTGACTTTGTGACTAGAGACGTTATCGACTAGCAAAATAATTTTGCGGTTTTTTAAGCGAAACATGTTGTTAATATTAACCTTTCTAAGGTAACTTTCAAATATAGAGCGTTGCATCCAGGCGGATTTATTATAATAATACCATATACCAAGTGTAGTTTTTTATCAATTCCGCGCAATGATCGAGGATTATTTGAGTTATTTATGAACAGTAAAGGCAGCTTTTCTTCCCCCGTTGCGTTACAAGTTGCGAGTATAGACACACGATCCTTCAACAATTTCTTTCCCGAAACTGACGCGCGAGCAAGTGTTGTTCGAGGCTCCATTTTCCAAAACAGCTGCTTTATCGCAATTAAAAATGTTACACTCATTATAACCTTCTAGAATCGATTTCAGTTGCTCGGGCAATTTGGCCACATCGACGCTCCCCGCTTCCCCTCGCTTTTTGTAAGATTTTAGATTGTTTCTCTTTTTGAATCCTTCCAACCACCCATTAGTTGCACCAAATTCGCGATTATTAAACAAAACAGCAAATTTTCTAGCCTTTTCTCTCAAAATTGAATCAGTTAAGGTCACTTGTCGCTTACTGCATTTTCTACCCAAAGACTCGATGCTTCCTCTATATTAGAAAAACTGCTTTGACGTCTTCTTTTAAATGTACTAGTGGTAAAGGTTTCATCAATATTAAGCCAGTAGTCACTATTTGACAAAATTTCACTAATTGTTGGTATGGCACATTCAAACTGTTTGGCTAATTTGGCTATTTTAATTGAGGGATTGTCTTTTTTATTTGACGGATTTCTTTTTTTTTTTCAATGCCGCGAAGTGCATGACGTTTGTTCTTAGCAGGTTTTGTCACTTCGTCTCTAACCATCATGACGAGAAACAGACTAGGATTTACCGTTAACTTTTAAATATTAAGTGAATTAACTTCAATATAATAGTGATGTTTATTATAATACAGTGAAGTTCGTTATAAGAAAACTTTGTTATATTCTTATTAGCCAACTAATTTAAAACTTTGCTATAGCAGGTAACCAGGTTTTCTTAATTAACTTCGTTATATCCGGGAAACTTTATTAGACAAAGTTTTGGGACATCGAAAAAACTTCATTATAGTCGAAATTCGTTATATCCAGGTTCACTGTGTATTTTCCATCCATACAGCACCAAGTGCTTTTCATGTCACTATGAACACAGATATTTCAAATGTCTCAAAGCTCTACAGTGAATGTTATTACTAATAATGAATCAGTATGTGCAATGATGTCTTTCTAAATTAATATCTTTGATCTGAGATTTTGGTGATATAGAGAGATTGTGACTAAGGCATTTTCTCACTAACCCTTACGCTTTTTATTAGAGAAATCATCTTTTTGGCCAAGTGATTTTCACATAAAATGGTTTTGGCACGAAATGTAGGCAGATAGTGATTACAAACGGAGGGACTATAGATAGTGGTTCGCGCATACGAAATTAGAGCCTGAATCACGTGATGCGTGTTGCCCTATCAGTGTTGTTGTCAATATAGTCACAAAGGTACTGTGCTTTAGTATTGTAACAATCTGTTCATAAGGTAAAATGTAATACTAATAGATAATCTGTAAAAAGATGTCTAAAAACCGCTTAACCTTGCGTTGTTTTGGCGTGAAGTAAATTTAATTTACATATACATTCCTTGTCATAGAGACGTTATTTTGTTGTAGAATTTAGTTTATTGAAATTGTAAAAACTAAATAAAATGTTCATCTTAATAAACAAATTGAATAATAACATAGTGAAAATGACACCAAATCGAGTGCCTGTCTTTAAAAATTCATCACTCTTCAAAAACTCGTGCAATAAGATAAAAAACCAATACCGTAATAATATGAGGACCCTATTATTGTTATAATCTAAATTTTACAAAAAAAAAGCTAAAATTTTTGTATACATTACTTTTGCAAAGTTTTTAGCGCATCTAAATCTAAGGATATGGTATTAACAACTCAGGTGGAGATACCATAATAACAAGTCCTCAAAATGCTTCACAAAAGTTTGGCCTATAGATTAAGGGATAATATTGATAATAATTATAATATAGACAATAGTGAACATGAGTCAGACGGATACATTGTATACCTACACAGGATACAGGAAGAAAAAAGCATTCAAAAAGAAAAAATACAGCAGGTAAAACAGGTTTTGATAAATGGAAGCGTATCAACATTCGAGAAAAAAGGATGCCACTAACAAGGCCAAAAATATTCTGCATTGGCCGAAAAACGCGAGCGGTAAGAGCAAAATAACATTATTTACGCCAATATGTCCTTAGTTTCTTAACATTTTATATTTTTGTCTTATATAAACATCCCCATCAAATTACATTATTTACTACGTATTAAAAGCCCTATCTGTCACAACGTTTGATCTATTGTCTGATTTAATTTGTTTGACCTATTGTTAATTAAGGGTTAACATTACTCTAGGTTCCAGTCGGTAAAGGTGCTTCCTTTTAATCGTATTAACTTAGGTATGTGTGTTATTGCATTCTTGTTATCGCGTCAATTATATGACTGTTAATAGTTAGTTTGGGCATCGTTTTAAGTACATTTTTCCTGCTAATACGTTCGTCTTAATTAAAGTTTTCGTTCTTACTATACCATCCTAGCAACGTTAAAAACGTAGTCAACAAATAATCTCAAGAGAATTTACTAAGCATTTTCTTTACAAATGTTTTGTTGTCGGTCTATTGTGCATGGTTTAATTATTCTATATTTATAGTGTGTATTTTGGTATCACTTATAACATATGCGTCTTTATTGTGCAAAAGTCTAGAAGGCTTGCTAATACGTTTAACAATCAGTAGCATGTGTCGTGTATGCGAAGCACATGATGACATTAATGAAGAAAACCAACGGATAACAAAATTTGAAGGCATAATTGATATGCCAACTTCTAGATTCCTCTATACATTTTAGACAGACAGCTGTGCTAGTGAAAGCAAATAATGATCTTGTAATTCAAGGGTTAGAGACATAGAGTAGGAGAATAATTGGATGCTATTACAATTACAGCGGGTGTGAATGTCTGAGTGACAGTAGATCTTAAACTATGCGCTGAGAGAATGTACGTAATTGTAGTGAGGTACACGTAATCACGGCATTTGTGTGAACGTTCTAGTAAATGATTGGGCACTGTTCTGAAATACTCAACTTGCATACTATTACCGGAACTGACGTAAGCTAACACGATCCCTGAAAGGAAATATTTGCCCAGACATTGATTAGTAAAGCGAGGCTTGCAAATCATTTGCTATCAATGAATCCTTGCTAACGCATTGCCACGTCCACAACGCGGATATAAATGAAATCGTACTAATCTATTAATCGATTTCTCCTCCGTTCTATTGCTATTAATAATTGCACAATTTAGCATACGATTGCATGCAAAGATGGCAAGCTTGCGTGTATTAATAAGCCGAGCATTGATAGCGGCTACAGGATCAAAATCATTCTTCCCATAAGCGATTAGAAATACTGTATATCGAGGCTAAACTAAAACATCGCGTAAACGGGTAAACCAACTGAAGAAGCATATCATTGCGCTCCCAGATATACCGGCAACACATTTTCAATATTAGGCCGACATTTATTTTCAATATTTGTTCTCAGTTCTGCACCGAGACAACTGAGTGACTGGGTTCTGAACTGAGACAGGTCCCGAGCTCAGACACAACATATTGAAACCAGACAGTGACTACGCGCTTTCAAAATTAAATGACGCAATAAATAAAGGCAAGCAATGATGGATAATAAAATTAGCGCAGCATTTATGCGACAGTGGCAAACAAAATCGTTCTATTTATCGGCATCTGTTTCTTGATCCAAGGAACTTTTGCTATGTCAATTGCCGCAAAGCCAATCAGCTATGCATGGCATCACATCGTTAGAAATAGTGATCATAGATAATACAATTTATGCTTCAGTGCAAAACCATTTGTTTGCATCATTTAATAGACGTTTGTTGTTTTTATTATCCGAATGTTGTTTGCCGTATCGGTATAGTCCGGAATCGCAATTTGCTACTGTTGTTCAGCAATGAACATCTGGTTGTATCTATAGTTTGGAACTCGGATTTGGATGACTATTCTAGTAGATATTTATTACCCACAATTATAGGCTTACTTGTTGATTTGTTTATTAAGATTGCCTCTTCTACGTGGAGATCGTCACAATAGCCATGACAACATTTAGAGACGTGCATGACGTCAATGTTACTTGAACTGAAAATGTCAAAAAATAAACCACCGGCTTATTGCTGACAAATATCCATTTACGCTAATCAAATTTCACCCTGCATTGCGCTTGGAAATTAGTGTACTAAATTCCCCCCTTCGGTTTATTATTATGGTAAGACTCCGCACGAATTTGAAGGAGGCTATGCATGAAGGAGTGATTATTAATGCATGGTGGTTATCGTAGTAAATGCATGTTCAACTAATTTAATATTAATAATTGCAATGAGAATTGTAATTAATTCAGGGGTTTACTAAATTTGCTAAATGGGAAACCCACGCCATAATCTTTCACGTGATTAAAAAGCATGGTGTTGACACAGTCTATCATCTTGATCACTTTTCGATATGTAGACGTACAATGAACATTGATGAAATTGGCTAGTCGATTAAACTCGTGGATTTTTCTATATAAGTGAACAACACGGGCTGGTTTCTTTACGTTAAACTCAAGCGACAACGACGACGACAACAACAACAACAACAACAACAAGTATGACGCACCAAGAAATCGCACAGGTTCGAAAGCCAGCACCCAGGTTTACCGCGAAAGCCGTTGTTGACGGCGTGTTTGAGACTGTCTCTCTTGACAGCTATATCCAGGACCCAGAAATCAAATGTGAGTTTATGTCGTTGGTTAGTGGCGCGCTACAGACGACAGTACTGATTTATTCTGTTATGTAGATATCCTCCTCTTCTTCTATCCGATGGATTTCACCTTTGTTTGCCCAACTGAGGCATGTGTAGTCGCTGTGAACAAATCGACCTTATACGTGGGAGTAAACAAACTTGCTAATCCCACATTATGATTCTTAAATTTATCTAGATTATTGCTTTCTCCGAGAGGATCGAGCAGTTCAAAGCGCTAAAAACGGCAGTCCTTGCTTGTTCCTGCGATAGTGAATACAGGTACACGATCATAACTAACGTGCTTGCGCGCTTGTCAAGTATTTTACTGATTTCTGTTCTGTTTTGTAGTCATCTTGCATGGGTCAACACGCCAAAAAAAGAAGGTTAGAGACTATTTCGGTATCTCCTTTTCAAGTCGAATCACCATACAAAATATTTAAATTGACAACGACTCGTTTTTTATTAACTCAGGCGGCCTTGGTCCCATGAAGATTCCTCTTATTGCCGATAAAACTCACGAAATTGCCAAGAAGTATGGTGTATATCTGGAAGAGTCGGGGTTCTCCCTTCGGGGCTTATTCATCATTGGTGGCGACGGTATTGTGCGGCAGATTACGATTAACGGTATGGTTCTATCTAGTATTAGGAATTACCACGCCCGTATGTCGTAAATAAACTAAATCTTATTTCTCCCATCAGACACACAAGTGGGTCGCAGTACCGATGAAGCACTGCGTCTCATTGAGGCGTTCCAGTTTAGCGACGAGTTTGGTGAAGTTTGCCCTGTCAACTGGAAAAAGGGTGCTTCGGTAAGTTCCACATGCTTTTGTTGAGAAATGACAAGTGTCAACACTAAAACTATTGATTACTAATATGATTAACCCGTTACAGACAATTAAGCCTGAGGTTACTGAGAGCAAAGAATACTTTGGAAAACAAAAGTAAAAAGCTGTGATTGGTTTACTAATATGACAAAATACTATAAATAAAAATTCCGCTCACGTGATATATAGTTAGGCTGAGTTGATTACACATACAATTCTATAGTTCCCCAATTTGGAGGATAACGGATCGGGGCGGATATTAAGCATTCTAATAAACAAAAAAAAATTTTTTAATTGTCAAGAATTGTATTCCCCTTGTCCTTTTCACCCTGTTCGCGTCTATTTAATAATACCTGGTAATGGACTCTACCTCAAATACGGTTACCCTCGCTGAGGCTCTTGTAGAGAAGAAGCCTATTCCACGTGGTACTATCCAGTTAACTGCAATGTGCGCTCGCTGCGAGAACGCGTCAGAGCGTTACTAAATAAAGCATACCTATATTCATTAACAGACGAGAAGACAGTGCGCAAGATAGCTTACGCAATAGAGGTGCAATTTAACATTGAAATCTTAATAAAACAACGAGAAATAAATCTAATTAAAGAAGAATTAAGAAAAGCGGTTGAATCGAGAGAGACGTTGAGGGCATGCATACTAGACGGTATGTTAACCTTGTGCAATGAAGCGAGTCTCAGGGAATTAGGTGCAATAAACTAATCATGCAATAGGTTCTGCAAGCAGTGAGTAGGTGTTTTGGCAGTCTCTCACAGAAAGATTAACTTACGTTTAGCAATTACAACTGATTATAGAGTGCCTATCTCGGTCCTTTCGATATAGATTGTATACTATATAATGCTTATTCTTGGAAGAGTTGAAAGGCTCATCTATCGAGTTTTCAACTTTTGTCAAGTTGTTCTTTCATATATTTCATTTTGGAAGTGAGGGTGGACGATGTATTACTTATCGCACAGATATGAGTCACTTGTATGAAGTTTATTATAGAAGACGGCCCTTCTCCCTGAGACCGAAAAAGTTCTCACTGCATATTCATCCATGTCGTTCATCCGACCGTATTCTTTCACATTCTCTCTCAATAGATTATTCACTACGGCGAACCGTAAAGACACCGACCAGTCCGTATTCGTCCGAAATACCACAAAAACGAGCATTACAAACGACTTACATACCACCTTCACAAGCAATGTCTCAAATACAAACACGCCATTCAACGCGACGAACATCATCAACACGTGATTCAAATTATCTTTATTACGATTCATGCAGGGATCTGTACGCCAGAAGAAACGATGGGACTTTTGTAAAGTAAGCTTTGTGATATCAACCATCGGCTACAAACCATATTTGGAAACACTGCAATATCAGTAATGAAAACTGACAATCCGAATCTTTGAACTTTTTTACTCTCTTTCTACGTTTGATCAATCTATCCATCTTTACCCTTTATCTTGTATTATTTGTGGTAGATTAGCATGTCCAAAGTGTCGCAGTTCGAAATTTGTTAATGTTCAAGGATTTCTCAATCACTGTCGGTTGGCTCATAAGATTGAATTTCCTAATCATGACGAAGCAGTATTAGTCTGCGGTATCCCAGTGGTAGGACGTTTGTACGGACTTGCTAGTGTATTAATGGCCTTGGACAATTTAATTGAAAATGAGTTGTTTTCCTAGGATGAGAATGTTATACCACCAAACCATCCAGCTCGATCACAGCAAATTACTCGGCCGCCCTCACTTCGTACTATCTTAGGAGACAGCGGCACAACTAGAACAAGGTATTACATACTAATAAAATCTGTGGTCGTTTCATTGGTTATTTGCAGCCTTTACGCTTTACTAATAATTCGTCTTTGCTAATTTAGCAAACGGGTAATATGGCAGATTCTATATAAAACAGTTCTTAAATAGCAGTATAGCCCACGATATACTTATTTCTATGTCTGTCATCGCTCAATCATAACAGCCAAAGATCAAAGTATTTGAAGAGGACGTCGACTTGGGCGTAGATGATTTATCGGATCGCCACTCTGGAGCATTTGTTATTTCTCCAATTGAACAATCATCACTCGATGCGTCTCAGAAGGTATACTCAGGAAAAGGTCGACCTCAAATTAACGAGTTATTATCTCTGGAGAACTGTGGCAGTCCTGCTGAATCAAATATTTCCGGCTCGTGCACACCACTACATCAACCTTTCTCTTCCTATACATTACCAGTGAGTAAACTTAAACTGGCTACATCTAAAATGTTGTCTCCGACAACATCAGACTACTCGTCTGACAGTGGATCGGATGATGACAGCAGTATTGATATTTCTCATGAGAAGGCACTGACACAACAGTCTGGTCAGTTGAATGGGAATGGGACGATAGATACTATAACAAAGATTGACATATTACATAATAAAGGAAACAATGGGCAAAAGATCAAATCTGGGAATAAAAATGTTCAAAAGTCAACTACTGAGATGAATAATGGAGATTCTATGGATATCGAAAGCACTGCTGAAAGTGATAAACTTGATCGGCGAGATGTTATGGATATTGATTCCAACCATACAAAAGTCAGCCAGAATAGCATAACATCTGAGCAAAACCTATCCACAGCTGTTAATAATGAGAAACAAACGACATTCATAGAGTACGCATCACAAGAAATAACTACTGCATCGAAATTGCAATCACAACCATTGCCACCACAACAACAACAACTAGCACAACCACAGCCATTGCCACAACCACAGTCGCTTTTCGTTGGTGCTTTTGAGCCAGTAGATAGTGGATCTAGGTTTTATTTAAAACGGCGAATCATTGTAGGAAATATTTCTAAATGGATACCACTAGACAAAAGACATGCCAAGTTAAAGGATTACACCCATCAATGGATGATTTATGTGGTTGGACCTCCAAACGCATCCAACGTCTCATCGTTTATTCGAAAAGTACGATTCACTCTGCATCAAAGTTATAAACCGTATCATATTGTGGATGTTATTGAACCTCCATTTCAAATATCAAGACTAGGTTGGGGAGAGTTTCCTGTACGCATTCAGCTATTCTTTGTTGACAAAAGAAACAAACCTGTGGAACTTGTTCATTCGTTAAAGGTAAGAAGTTGGTCGAATTTTATAAGACATTGACATAGCTTGCATAGCCGAGCATCAATATTAATGGAATACTGAAACTCGTTATTTTGTGCTTAGTTGGATTATAGTAACACCGGAAAGCAGAAAGTTGGGGAAGAACGTCGTTTCGATTTAGAGTTAGATCGAGATACAACGTTCGTTGAACTCCGTCCAGAAGTGATTGGTTCAGACATCAAGAGAGCGAAATCCGGTGTTAACTACAAAAGTGATTATCCCAGTGCAACCACTAGTCAAACAGATGCTTTACAAAGCGCAATAGTCGACATTAAGAATACATCTGAACTCGAGAACGCTATCGTTCGGCCTGTGCCTGTCGATGAGCATGCCAAAAGTAATTCCGAGACAAATTTTGATAATAATTTACCAAAGTTACCTTTGACAACGAGATTACCTTCAGAAACGTCTTCAGCCTCACCTCTACAGACGCCGTCTCAAAATACAACTGCACTAGTTACTTGTGAAACTATTCAAATAAAATATTGCAGATTTTGTGGATGTCCAGTAAATTGGCATGAAAACACCTCAGCAAATATTATGTTGGCGACGTATAAGTGTAAGCATCGACCCGCATGCTTGCGGTACAAGAATAGTCGGTTAAGCAGCATGACTTCAGCAAGAGAAGCGCTTGATACCTTTCTAGAAGTCACACATGAAGGTAGATATCATTTGCGTATAGTTGGTAATCTCGGATAATCACTCTTTATTAACATGACTTGTCTCGAAAGATGATGACATGGAAATTGATGTTGGGTCCAGCATACATGTGTCGGATAATAAAATTAGAGCAAGCTCTTCGACCACACCGCAGAGCGAGGATACCAATGACTTATTAAACAATCCACAATTTATTAATAGCCTTGATCCAGAAGGAATAGACTGGGTATGGGATGTTGTTGATCAAATAAAGTTACCAACAGTATCAGCAACACGATTGAACATTAATGAGGATCAAATGCACGTGAATGAACGCAAGGTGGCAGTCGAACAACGTTTGATTGTTGGGAACCTAATATTCCAGGTTTGTCACATACCGTTACAGTCAAAAGTTGTTGCATTCCACTTGCATTCTACTAATCGAAAGTTTTGATACAGGCCACAAAAAAGTTTGTCAAAGATATTATCAACAAATCATTAGAGATTTATAAGTCAGAATTAGTTGATGATCCTCTGCCAAGATTTTGTAAGGATTGCGAAAGCATGCAAACCACAAAATCAACCAATCCGGACCAAATTCACGAGGGTGCGAAGATGCTAGTTCCATATCATTTGTACCGAACATTCGTGAATAATTTAGATTCCTTTGATTTCTTAACCAATGCTATGACGGGTGAAACTGCTGAAGAAGATTCCCAAAAAGGGGCGGGATAAAAGATGATGAGTAGGATCTCGTCCAACAGATGAGAGAAAGGCTCTGGTTGAGGTTTGCATCATGTTTCTTAGTATAATATCAGGTAAGTAATCTGTAGTGCTGATTGCGACCATTATCGGCTTTCATAATTCTGATTATTGTGTCACCATGTGCTAGTCGCGTGTAGATTGGCACATTATAATCACTTAACTTGAATGCAAATAAATATCCTCAAGAACAGAAGCTATAAGCTTTACGTTCCGGATGAAGGCTTTTTAGTCTAGACAGAGCTTTACGTTGTTACGTTCCTCGTGTCTATAAGCAGATGGCGGAAACAGGATAATCACCGTTATATTTGCCGTTACCATCGATGTTGTATCTAGCAGACAGACTGATTTAGTGTGTTTACAACGAGCACTATTTATTCATTTAATTTTTTGAAACCTATGGTTTTAGTTAGAGCGAACTTTCAAAGTTTGTTCTGTTATGTGCATTATTAATTATGTATCACAGTTACTAGTCAATATCGTATAGGAATGTTTCTTGCCATGTAGCCACTAAATAAAGGAAACGTGAATCTTGAACCACGAATTAAAATAGGCACGAGTGTTTAGTAGATCATCAGCCAATGTCATTGAGCTTACTTGATTTAGATTTCTTATCCATGCGCTTTCTCTTTATGTCTGTAATTTACAATGGCGAAAAACCGTCGATCATATATCAAGTTGCTAGCCATTTTGTAGCTAGCAAGAGCAGTTGGTCCGAACTATAACAAGAGTCGCAAACGCGTCGCGAGTAGGCATATTCAGGATCAACTTTAGCAAATTAAAGTCTGAATGATGAACATGCTTTTCTGAACTAGAAGAATTCAACAAGAGATGACTCGTCAAGTATATTATTTCTCTGTTGGTTAGATATTCGACATATATACACGTCCTCCGACAATGTAAAGGGGTAAATGTGCTTACTACACATTGTAAGTCATTCGAAAAAAGCACGCGGTTATTAGTATAACAAAAAAAATGTAGCTTGCTTTGACGCTATATGAATGCGTGTTGGAATGGTTCAGGGGAATAACCAATTATGATCATTAAAAACGGTTCTGAATGACAGTAAATCGTTACTCAACGTGAATTCATTATTCTAAAAATCGTAATCAAAATAAATACATTTAACGCATCGGACAGACTGTAAATTCAGCCATACCGACCTTGGAAATCGAAATGAATAATTTGATCATTAATATATAAATTCTAACCAATCTTTTTTTAGATAAAGTTACCATCCATATAAATATTTTACAAAAATGTGAATGGATAGCCTTATCTTGATAAGCAACAATTTTCTGAACAGATTGTGATAATCTCTAAATTTTACCATAATTGTCTACAAATGGCCCCGAGACGACCAGAATAGATTCACTGCAATTAAGATTATTCTTCATAATTTCTAACATCGTTCAATGACTGGCCTTTAACATTGTCCGACAATATGTATCTACTATCTCTCCACCCTTTTCTGCCCTACTTATTATGTCCATAGACCCATTTCCCTGTGTAGGATATGAACCCTCTAAATCAAAGGTAACCAACCGTTCTTTCTCTCTCTCCTTTTCTTTTTGTTTATTGTTGTTGGCTTCACCATCGGCAAAAACCACGGCACTTGCACCACTATCATCTGGATCATCTAAACCCGCATTACAACTGCCCGACCCTGTCGTTGTACCGTCATCAGCCCCACTTCCCGACATAGTGTCTACATTAGTACCAACGTCTATTCCTCCTCCCAAGACAACATCTACCTCTTCAGGAATGCTTAATGTATCTTTCACGCTCGGATATCGAAATGCTACCAATTCTTGTTCATGATCCTTAATAGTTAATGGACTCCAGCTCTTTTCTTTACGATGCCCTAGTTCGATTTTGAGATCTTTCTTTGAATTGTTCAATACTCCAGCTCGTTTTAATAATGACGATCCTGAATTTTCGTGTATAACTATTCTATTCCTAGGATTAGATGCAAGTGCGCTTGTGCTGTTGTATCCATTCGTATCGCCAATATCCGGATATCGACCTGTTATGGACGGTGACAAGGGAGCTGGCGTGAATTGTGTTGCCGAAAGAGTGTCCGAGTGTATGAAGTTACTAGGCGATTGAGGCGGAGATTGTAAAACAGAAGAGTACGGACTATGGATAGATGAACGGGGGCTTATTTGTGTTAGTGTGCCAGTCTGCATAGTATCGGCGCTATCTGTTCTCTGATGTGTAGGCTTGTCATTAGCGATCATGTATTTGGCGGAAACTGGGAATGGTATAGATGCTCGTGAACGAATGGTTAATTGTGAAGGTGACGGTGGTATAGAAGGTTCTACTCGTAGCGATGGGATATCTTTATCTATGGATGACGGAGATGATGGTTCCTCGTCTTTGTCTTGGCGATTGTTGAATTTATTGACTATCTTTTGTGTAGTCTTCTTAAGTATTATTTTTAATTTTTGACTTCGTTTAAGGTTCTTTGACATTGTATCCAGTAACGATGGTATAGCGTCAATTGACTGTAACGGTGGGATTTCCACCTGATTGTCGATTATTGAATAATCTGATTCACTGTCTTCAGTATTATGTCGAAATTTAGATTTCAGTTCTGGCGGTATTGTAATGACTTCTGGAATTACATCTGGTGTATCTGCTGGTAGTGCATTTTCGAATCTTGTCCGTTCTTCTTCAGTCTCTCTCCTTAATTGAGCTTCAAGAGCTATTAGTTGTCGTTGCAAGTCCACATAACTCAGTACTAATTGTGATTTTGACTCTCTTGAAGGGGGGTTCTATAAGAAAAAAAAAAGTGGATTTTGTAAATGAATTAAAATGATGTTGTATAGTCAAATTTAGTTTTATAAATAAATATACGTTTAAACGAATAAATATACGAATTGCGAAAAGGAGATTGATTGTATAGACACTATAACAGAATAGTGATAATACCATGCTAGTATGCGATTTCAAGTTTTCTTCGGTGAGCGGGTCCTTGTCATCTGTTCCATTCTTCGCTGGACGAGCTGCAGTAGCAGAATGCAAAAGTGTACTCGTCTGTTCAGGCATCTCTTCAATCTCAAACGGCAAAGTTCTCGTGTGAATTATTATTAAGGTAGTAAAAGAAAGTATTCAAAGGCAACAACAGAGCATGAAACCGTTTAAAGCCTTAATATTCCCAAAGCAGGGGTCTTCTTGAAAGCTTTAAAGGGTTAATGCCACCCAGAATGTTCGTAAATAATTTATGGTGGAGGGGGTGGGACGATGGTCGAAATGCAAAGTTTTGTTGCGTTACTATACACAATTTTAAAAAAGGGGGTTAGTTCGTGAGAATGACTTCCTTGTGACCACCGAAATTTGGATTCTCCCAGATCACCATCCAAACAACGACCATGGATTGTATTCCACTCGATGCATCGAAGGTTTAGAATGCACCATCAATGCAGTTTACTAATATTAATCTGCGAGTAATTCACATCTTTTTGTATCATACAGGAAATCCCCCATAATAGATTGCAGATATCCAAAATAAGCTTTGGCGCTGGCGTATTTAGTGGTAGATACAATTCACTTGAAGAAGATTGGCCGCTGGAAGCGGTGCGAAGAGCTTTGGAGCTGGGTGTGTATCCCAAGACAGATGGTCATCTAATTGTGATACTTGTTAACATTATATATTTACATTTACAGGAATAAACTGCTTTGATACTAGTCCTTACTATGGCAACAGCGAATTAATACTTGGTGACGTTTTTGAAAAACTAAAGGATGAATATCCTCGTTCACGCTATTATTTATCCACTAAATGTGGCAGATATGGACACACGAAAAATGACTTTAATTATTCTCGGAAACGAGTCGAAGAGAGTGTTACAGAGAGCTGTCGTCGACTCAAGACGACATACTTGGACATTGTGTTGGCTCATGATGTTGAGTTTGTGGGTATAGACGAGACAATCGAAGCTATCGAAAAGTTGTTCGAGCTAAAGGTAGAATTACAATATCAATGAAATATAAGAGTTGTATAAATATGCGTGTTCCTAACGAGCAAATTTTATCGTCGATTTTGAGCACAACTGATAGTAACTCGTATCTTTCTTGCTAGGCGGAAGGCATAATAAAACACGTAGGAATAAGTGGTAAGCTTCGTTTGCTTTATCGACATTCCTGTTTCTCATCCCCATCTTTCACCTTTCTTCGACAGGTTATCCACTAGACGTCCTATTACAGATTGCCGAAATACAATACGCCAAATCCCAGCCTCTAGACGTCATATTGTCGTACTCTCATTACACACTCCAGAACACCTTGTTCGCGGACTATATCGGTAGATTCCGTGCCCTCGGAGTAGAGACCCTAACCAATGCCTCTCCGCTGAGTATGGGTCTATTTCGCAGCTCTCCCCCTCCCAAATGGCATCCTGCTTCAACCGGGCTGCACAAAGCAGCGGCTGAATGTGCAGAAGTAGCCAAGCAACATAATTTGTCTATTGCCAAGCTCGCTCTACAGTTTGCATTTCAGTGGAAAGATGTTGATAGTACGATGGTCGGATTATCAAACAAAGAGGAAGTTGAGGATGCTATCGATGCATGGAACGAAGTGAAAGCACGAGAGAAGGGCGAGAAGACTATACCCGCCATCGAAGTCGATGTGCTAAACGAGATTAAAAGACTATTAGAACCCTATTACAATATCAGCTGGCCATCACCGTAGGTTAGAACAATATCATATTGTCATACTAGTCGTGATCGGGCCAGTCGGCGATTTTAAACTTTGACCAATAAATAATTGCTTAGATTTAAAATTGAATTCTTTAGAAGATTCGTGAAAAAACGCAATATTAAACCATGTGTCTTGGTTGATTACTTTAACTTTAATGTGCGCTTATATTTCATTTCATTACAAACGATACAATATGTGTCACATGCTATTGAACCGGCCAAATTTAAGCTATTGTCCTGTTAGTTGGCAGGACAAAACCTTGTATCATCAAAATTTGATGGGGTTGTTCGTAATATGTTCGCTACTTTGCCATAAACTGTTGTACTCAATGAAAAGTCTCACAAACGTCGGCTGAATGAAGTCTTTTATGGGGGCCCACAATTATGTAATTTCATAAATAACAATATTGTTCACTTAATCGAACATTTGCATCGTGTAATAAATATTAAATCAGCTATTAACACAAACGATCACTTCTGATTGCATTTTTGGATATGCATAATCCACATGAGTCTAACCATTTTAGGGAGAAAAGCTTGTGGACTTTCCAGATTTGAAACAGCGGGGAACAGCAGTAAAACGTTCTGCATAAGGCAACCTTAAACTATTACTTCAAGGTTGGGACTATATTATCGGAGATTGATAACGCATATCTTTCTTGGATATATAATTCTTTGTACCACGTTGGAGATTCCCTTGTTATTATGCTAAGTGTCTGAAAAGAAAATTTTTTATCATTTGTGATCATCTGCAATGCAGTTGCTTGTGACATCCAAACGATCGTTTCATAATAATAATAATAGCTTGTTAGTATTTAGTCCAAGCGACGAGCACCCCATTTTTGAAAGCAGTTACCCTCACATATCCAAACGCTTCGCTATTGCAACTTGCCTAATTAAATGGCATGTTAAGCGTCTTGGTTATCTGACAATATCTCTTTTAATTGGCTTTTTTCTTCTTCTTTTTATAGCATCTTCGTTGCTTCTTTGTCAACTCCATTGTGTGTTTACTATGATTGGTTCAATATGTACGGAGTGTTTACTACTATTTATCTCAAAGCTAACCATATTTCTCCACTACAATAATGCCATCTTGACTATAATGATAAGTCAACATCACATGTCAAATTACCGCATTGAATTATCGAACTTTTAAGTTATTCGAAAACAAAGTTGGAAAACTCGAGCAATGTTATATTTGTCAATCAAGTATTATTCTTTTTACCGATGTGGCTTCCAATCCACAAAAACGACTATCAACAAAGAAAAGGTGAGGAGAGAAGAACGTGATGCAATATTATGCTTAGACGACCAGAATACTGATACTCATTGACGTGCTTTGGGTCAAACCAATAATGAAGACAACACAAATGTATTTATTTGATAGACTAGAATACTCACGACGTGGTGACCATTTTACAATGCTGGCTATGCATACTTTCATTATGAAATAACCCTTGAACGTCCCAACTTACGCGAAGCCTCATATTAGATGTCCTTTAATTAATTAGTTACATTAGTACAGATTATCCATACTAAGACGTTTGTCACGAGATTAAGCAGTGTTTGAGTGGCACTTAGTTTTAACGTTCGTGCTTTAAGCTTCGATGCCAATACTGAATTCATAATAAAATACCACGTTTATCATGTTCCCGTTACATATGCACATGATAGATCTTTATGCTTGATTGCAAGGTGTGACTGGTATCGCTAAGAAAGGTTTGACAAAGTACAGTAAGATTCACTAACGTAGTCTCCCAATAAATTTGAGGACGCCTCTACTTTTAAAGATGATTTCGCCTGTCGAAAATAAAGGACATTCTTACAGGCAAACAGTAGTAAATTCTATATAAGACAGTAACGCGTCGAGAACACTTATTTCTACGCGGACGGCAGTTAGTTTAAGGACCGTATTATTTCATCGACAATCATTTCACCGACAATTAATTACCAAAAAAGGATAACTTCGAAATAATGTTGGTGAATATTTGTCGGTGAAATGATTGTCGGTGAAATGATTGTCGATGAAATGATTGCCTCCCGTTAGTTTATATAATCGTCCGTAGCGTAAATTTCCACGTATACCGTATCTTCTCGTGAATAAGCACCCTCTGATCGCTGCTATTAGCAACATAACCTACTACTATCCTCACCAATAGTTTATTACATAAGAACACGAGATTCTTAAAGTTGTGACGGTTTGCCGATCATTTCATATGGTCGAAGGGAAGGGGGTGCTTATTATTATTCACGAGAGGATACGGTAAATGTATTATATAAATAATGGATAGTTGAGCAATACAATGCATATGTGCACTGCCAATACTAGATAACAAGTACACCATCCTGCCAAAATACTCAAAATTTACTAGGAAAACATGTGAAAATCTTTTTTCAATAAATCTTTATTGCAATAATTTTTGCTAATTGGTTGTATTTTCAGGAAAATAACAATGCATTTAGTTCTGTTGTCGTTTTAAAGCTGCAGTTTGATGAGGTGGCAATATTTGTATTACACGACACGTATGAAATGTATGAAATCATAAATACTACCACTTCATCGAACCACTTTTTTCCTTTCCCGATGAGCGGATCTTTTATTTGCCTGAGGGTTTGTTCTCAGACTTCTTTTGTAGGTAAAGAGGGAATTGAAAGTTAACACCTAATTATAAGACGTCAGCAATGTAACTGGGTAAAGTAATGTTAGAATATTATTTACCCCTAATGAAAATACTTTATCAAATTGTATTTTACTACCTGCGTTTCTTCAAAAGGATCATAGATATATAACGTTTTGCGCGGCGTTCACAGCCGACAAACTGTTATTATGGACCAAATTTTACCCACTCTAACAATTTATTAAGCTTCCAACAGATTGGTAATGTTATTTTGTGTCTTGCCAATAATTTCTTTATAACGCTCATAAGCTTGTTTTTCGCAGAGGTTACACGTATACGGTGCGCGAAAAATAACATTTTTATTAATTGTGCAACGGGAAATAATCAAGATATGTTCTTCATCGTACAACACACTGTCTTACTTATTGCTGCTCAATAGCTTATATTAAACCATTCCGTCCATTATTATATTCAATCTTGACGGAGTGCTTTTTCCAATCTCTTCCCAAAAACCTTTATTTTAATATCATATACTTAGAAGGCTAAAAGTTAGTTAATGTAGAGTGTAGGCATCTTGAGTACCATTTTGCCCACAGAGTGGCTATGATCTTGCGATCAAAACCTTGTTGTATTTTTAATAACAAAAAAAAGTGTAAACAAACAAAACAAATGACACAAGTTACAAAGTTACTGTGTATGACCGAGTTTTTTTGTCGGCGCCACATGCGTAAGAATAAAACAAACAAAACTATTAGTTTACTTTTTTGATTAGACGCGCATTTTGGAAGAAAATAAAGTTTATGCATTTTATTCCAAAAACTTTTTTCGCGCACTGTAAATGCTAATTATGACAATATAGTTAATGAGTTCCTCATTCAAAGGTGGGAGACTTCTGAAAGCAATATTATGATAGCAAATGACTGAAAATGAGTATCCAATTTAGATATTATGGCCTGAGATGTTCTGGCCTTTTTAAGGTTGGTAAAAGGACAAAGTTTTTGAACCTCTTGGTTTGCGAAAGGAAGATCGAATGACAATTATGTGACTGCTGCTGATTAAATAGTCATGTGGAATGGGACACTTTGATTGTAAAAAAGGTTTATACAGAAATTGAAAACTTGAAACTCTTGCGTTCGCAAATTTCGGAAGAATATTGGTTTGAATATTAGGTTCTTAGGCAATATCATTTTGTTTTACAATAGCTCATTCTTGTGTGTAATTAACTTTAAGAAGATTGCTTTTCACAAAGGAAATGAGGGTTTCACCATCGCATCGCGAGCTTATTATTTGGTAGATTATCATGTATTAGATAGAAGAAATTATTGATGATACCGTCTTTTGTTGTTGTATATCGTTATAAATCATGTGACGCGCACGACTTGATTTATGTTATTCTCGTATGTTTAATGATAAAAATCTGTGATGGTATCAATAATTTACACCAGGTGGTAAAAGGCCTTAGCAACTGTGATAGTGATCACAATTAGTAAAGCGACTCTAACGGGGGGTTTTTTACTATTGAAAAATTCCCGGAGATGCATGCTACAATCCGGATGACAAACAAAAAGGTTTGTTTGGCATTGCGTAACATCGTAATATGCATATTCGTAGATCATCGTCATCTGACACCAAACGAGACGCTAAAATATATTGGGTTGAATTACTCATTTTCACATAGCTGATTTTTCAGCAGTTAATTGACTTAACCTACCATTTGTGTACATATAAGATATTATCTACTAATAATAAGCAAATTGATAGCAATTGTAATTGAACGCCAAGTCATCCGGACTAATGATATGTTGAGCAAAGTTTTATCTGCGTCTCGTGCCCTGTATCACAAACAGAGGGATGATCTCTATAATTGGTTTAACTATGCGAAGAATCATAATCCTTGAATAGAAAGATTCTTAATGACCAATCAAAGGCTTAAACCCAAAATAACCATTGTACATATTTGTCTTGATTAAAAAAATTTGTCGATGATTATATACAATTATTACAACATTTTTCCTCTTTGTTATGACTTTTATTATAATACCTTCCTATGCAATGCATCCCAACTAAAAGATTTAAGTTCGTATTGTGTTCGTGTTTCTTTGTTTAATTGTTATTGCTACGATGAGTCAGACAATTAAACTGTGTTACCGTCTAAAAATGAAGCTGCAAATTGGTTGTATTGCAAATCAATACGTTGGTAAAAGAGTCGTCATTGTTTTTTCAATTATTAGTCCAACTTTGGTATTTTGCTACGAGTCTTGCGCTTTCCATTTGTAGCGTTTAGCGGATTATAAGGAATACTATTCTAAGAAATAAGTATCGCTATTGGCTTAGTCATACGTCAATGGAAAAAGGGTTGCTTGAAATTCAATAAAGATAAAAAGCGTCAATTTTGTTATAAAAACGCAAACGGCCTGTCTTTACATTCAATTATTGCTTCTCCTCTTGGATAGTAATAGTTTTTATTACGCTGAATATATTATGATTAGCATGAACCGCGTTGATTTAATCGCAGAAATTAACCGGATCGGATGGTCAACACCGTTCGCCCGTCATTTAATAATCACTTGTGGCATGATCTTCTTTACCGCAGGCTATGTTGTGAGTTCTGGGAACCTCCTCCCCCTCGCACTACCAACAGTCTACAGCAGCGCTAATTATAAAAATGCCGAGGCCGCTAAGATATCTCTTTGTGTGGGCATGCTCATCGGACAATTGGTCTTTGGGGTGATTGGAGATTTATACGGAAGACGAAGAGTAAGTATGTTGCACCATAGCCAAAAGAAACGTTTCAATTCATCCCAACCCTAACATGTATTGTAACACAGGCATGCAACTTAACCTTAATGCTCATATTGGCCGGCACGTTGTCGAGTTGTGTTTTGGGGGATGGCCCTGGTTTGCGGATCACCACTAGTTTGGTAATAATTCGAGGCCTTCTGGGTATCGGCATTGGTGGGACATATCCCACAGCTATACGTATGTATAGGCTGTTTGCACAGTTTACTGTTGACTTCACTACATTTCTGTCAGTCGCCCTTTTCAGTAGCTCATTTCAACCCCATTGTTCTATCTTGTATTTCAGTTACGGTTTCAGAGTTCGCTCCGACCGATCAAAGGCCAACAAGGCTGGCCACTATTTTCCTGGCATATATATGCGGTTCTTTCACCGCGCTTTCAATATCTGCTGCGGCCCTGGCCGGATCAAATCAAATTGATAGCATATGGCGCCTCGTTATTGGCCTTGGTCTTGTTCCCGGAATTACGGCTCTTGGACTTTGTCGACTGCGGCGAATTCCAGAAACTCCATATTATAAGGCGGACGTCGAACGCGATTTCGTTGCAGCCAACGAGATCGTTGATTACGCTCTAGAAAAAAGAAAGCACCTGAATAGACGCGACCCAGTACGATACAACGGGGGAATACTATTATGGAGTAGGGGGCTTTTCCGCTACATGCGCAAAGATTTCCGGACATATGTTGCGATATGTGGCGCTTGGTTTATTGTAGATGCGGCCGCATATGGCTATCGTTCGGATATCCGGCTGAGGGATATCAACCTCAACCAGAATGTTGGGGAACAGGATATTCACAGCTTGTTAATGCAAGTTAGCACTAGTAGTGTTATTCGTGTGTCCCTTGGTTCTATATTAGGGGCCTCGGCGACTCTCATCTACTTCATATACTATTCATCGCGCAAAGCGATAATGTATTTTGGATTTGTTGCATCGGCCAGTCTGTTTGTCGTTTTCGGATTCTTCTCGGGCCAGGTGGGGAACATCCCCTATTTAACTATCTCTACGATGGTGATGGTAAGTACTAATATCTACTAAAACTTAGTATTCCTTGACAACTATAATAAGAGTTAACATTGTCATGTCTTAATTTTACTAGTTTGTCCAGAATTTTGGGCCTAATGCGCTAACATTTATTGTCGCTGCGGAACTGTGGCCCACACAATACCGTTCAACTTCCTACGGGATTGCGGCTGCGAGTGGTAGATTAGGGACCATTACCACATACACCATCTTTACATGGTTTTCTGTGGATGGCGACAAGACTTTAATAGGGCCTCTTAGTCTTGCTATCCTTATGATGTTTGGCCTCGGTTTTACGTGGCTTTTGCCTGAATATAAACCTGTGTTAGAAGTAGAAGAGGAGGCAGAAGTAGAACCTGTGTTAGAAGTAGAGGAGGAGGCAAATGTGGTGCATGGACAGGTTGTGTAATACTGTATAAAAATACGTGACGCGTTACTATGTAATTAATATAGAATTTCTTGAAAATGTACATCAATAATTTCAAAATAAATCATTACATTCCTTCAAAATACTCTCCGCCACTTCCATATGATGTTTCAACCTTTTTTGCCAATTTAAAGGCTTTACAATACTCTTCCTTTGTATACTTATCACTGCCTGAACAGCTCATGCAAAGTTTGAAACTACTACACGATCTTACTGGGTAGCAGTTTACAGTGGCTGGATTATTTGAATTTAAAAATCAAGTCTAATGTTTTGAGATTTAACTATATGCTCAGCCTTAACTCTGAGAAGCCTGGCTTTATTGACCTCTTTCCATCGCACGTTTCATAACATTCTTGATGATGATAATAATAAATAGCAATTCCGTAGTGTAGATGCACATACGCTCCACTACTTGGTAGCTCTGGCACACTGATGTATTGGCACAGTGACACAGCGGCGCAATAAGTCTTCATATGAACTAGCGCATGTAAAACTCCGATAAGCTGATTAACTATGTCATTGTTAATATCGATCAAACAAAATAGTCAATGAATATAGGTCAGGGATGTAGATAAGGTTGCACCCAGCTATATTTAAACTAGTTCAAGTTGACTCCCTAGTTTTATCCTGTATGGGTTTCTAGAGGTCTATAGTTAACTTTCTAATATTTCATTATAACTATGTAATATGTTTAGCTTTATTAGTGCAAGTACACCTTTGGCGTTCAATCGTAGGTGTAACTAATAAAAGGACGCAAAACTTCAACTGAAACTCACAAAAATAGCTCCATAATTTAATAAATAGTAAGTAGATAATAGCTGATTATGTAATCTTATGTTCGAGCGATCGCTTATTCAGGTATCACAAGACCAATAGATCAAGAGTCGATAACAACAAAGTACGATCGGGCTAGGACAGTGTCGGCAAAAATGTAAATACATGTAAGTTAGTAAACTCTATCACAGCCACAAGAAAATTGACTTATAGGTAGGAAGAAAGGATATTATTTCTTACGATGTGATAATTTTAATGCTAGCCAATTGATTTACAATCAATCAGAACCAGCAACCGCATGGGAATGTTATTACCAGCTAAAATTTAGTACCCTATGTTTAAGACTTCCATTATTACTGTTTTAACATTTCTTTCTTATGTAATGTCCGTTATTTGATTTGTCAATTGAGAAATTAAACAACAAATAAATTAATATACTATTTACACTTTATTTATCTGCAAGAATTCAATCCACTATACACATATATAAATAATTTCTTGTGACTAACCAGCTTTAGCATGAGTTTGTAGTTGGAATTTTGGTAATCGTGGTTAATTGGCACGAAAATATCATGTCAAATGTTTGGCTATTACTATACATTAAAATATGATTAATGTCACAAATAATATTAATATATTGCCGTACTATGTTAAGCTTTAAAATATACATAATTCTAAAGCTAATGTACGATCAGCTGCAACCAGGAACCGCATTTGCCGTCCAACATATCATGGTTATTTCGTAACTTGGTTCTACAGTTACGAAATAACATATAACAATCGAGTAGTTTTAGTCGTATACTAACCGTTCTTGAGTTACTAGAGTTTTCCGACTCACACAGTCAATACGTACGTGGTGAGAATCGGCATATTATTATAATATTTCGGCTCCTATTACTTATTACTAGGAATTCTTAAGGTAATAGCAGGATTGATTATTTCAAATTCGCTGTGGTTTATTACGATCGATCATTAAATTCGTCTTGAATTCTCCGCCACAGTAATTATATCAATACAATTAAAAATGTGTATAAGCTCGATAACAATGCGCGTCTATCATTCTAAATTAATAGTAAATTAGACGTTATGACTAATGTACGGGCAATAATATTGGTCTGCGGTAGGGGACTTTCGGTAATCGCTTTATGGTAGACTCGGAACGTTTGCGAGATTTTCCCAACCTGCTTGTTTGAAGATATATCTAAAAGACTAATGGTCTCAAGACTAAATCAATCGGTATGACTCTTCCTCCTTATTATAACTCAAATGACTAAGTTAATACTTTTAGTTATCTAAATAAATGCCTTGTTAATTTATTCATTCACAATTTCAAGTGGCAAGAAATACATTGATGGAGATAACTATTGACTAATCATCTAAATGACTATGATTAACTTTCTGTAAGGGGGACCATTGAATATGGCGAATTAATTAGACATTTAGCTCCTGGAATGTGACGCGCAATTCCCAGAAAAGCTAGAACAGATGTAATGTGTGTGTATTACTCTTACCAATTATGAGTCTTATTACTAACATCTAAATAGTAATAACAACGCGAAATCGGTCGATTTTGATGTATTTTATCACGAAGAATTACAGCTTCCACACAGCTTGCTTAGTGAGTGAACTCGAAAAAAAATTTTTTCTTTTGAAATCAGTTGATATAATGGAGATCTTTTTGTCATTGGGTACAACCACACCCTTTGTTTCAGCCACATATCTTATCGTCTAATCGTATATAATGTCCCGTTCCCACACCTTTGCTGTCATTGTTTTTGCAAGTCTGAATTCGCCTCGCTAAAGATACATACATTCGCAATGAGCTTGAAATTCGAACATATTCAGCGTGAGAAGGTACAAGCATGGGCCGAGAAACTAATAACGTATGTAACAATGGGAATGTCGACACAAAATTAGTTATGAGCAAATTTTCTCAACGCTGACACATTATCCTTCATTCGGTTAATTAGACATTTTAATGTTGATAATCTGCGTGAAAAATATCAAGTATTCGCCAAAGAGCATCCGCTGATTAAAGTAAATACAAAATCAATTGCCACACTCGTTCGATTGACGACATATAACTTATGGACCGTTGTGCTTTTTCTTCTTCCATAGCTCTTCTTATCCATCTTTGCGGTCTTTGCAGCTGTTCCCACACTCTGCTTTCTCTTTTTCGTTGTACTTGCCACCATATTCGCATTCGGTGGAGCGCTTTGTATTGGACTGGTCATTTGGTTGTCGGCGATTGGTATAGCAGGTAAATTGATGACAGAATGCGACTTTAATCGAATGTTATATTGGTTCAAATGTTTCTTACGCGTCGTCCATTTCTATTTGTGTAGGTTTCGCGCTTTTTAGTACGCTAGTTGTTGCAACGACTGCAACCTGCGTGGTGTTCTTTTGGGTGTCATTAGCTGTAGTAATAACCAAATTGTATAAAGCATATGCAAGATAGGGAACAGATAGCTAACTACTTATATTGGTTAGAGCACGCGTGAGAATACCGCTCAAAAGAACAGACCATCTAACCAAGTATCTCAGCCATTGTATATAGTGATGATATATATATATAAATATAGTCTCCAGAAGCAATAAAAAACGACGACTCTTACTATCATTTCTTATTGTTACACGATACTATCGATTATTCTTGTACAACTGGAAACATTCAAAAAATCGAAAGACTCCTTCCCCTTAACGAAACGCCCACGTAAGAAAACGGCAATGGGAAAAGTATATCAAACCTTCTTGACTGGTGACAGAATATACGCTTGCACCACATGCCATACTCACCTGGCAAAACACGAGGATCTGATCTCAAAAGTATGTTCACCGTCCCGAAAGTGGAAACTGTTACCTTTGAATGCAACTAACTAACTGACCACGTCCGTTAGGCATTCCAAGGCAGACATGGTCGTGCTTTCTTATTTGGCTCAGTGTAGGGTATTTACCATATAATTATCTTATCCACTACTCCCCAATCTTACCAATGCAACTTTAAATCGTTATCCAAAGAGAGAACATATCTTTAGGACCAAAAGAAGACCGCCTATTGATAACTGGGCTACATTCTGTCAAAGATATTCGATGTAATGTTTGCACGCAGGTGGTCGGATGGAAATACGTAAGTAAGAGTTATATACAACCAAGTAGTTTACACCAAGTTCATTCTAACTCATAGATCAACAACCGGACGTTGTTATTCAAGGTGTTTGCATTTGAGGAATCACAAAAGTACAAGGAGGGCAAATATATTGTAGAGAGTGCAATGATTACAAAGGAGAATCAATGGGATGAGGCATAGCATGGTAAGTGTTGTGTTGAGCGAATAATACAATGCTCAAGTACATAAGATACATACTAATCGCAATTTATCGAATGTTTATAGAAACAATTCCTAAAGACATTCCCTGTTTTTTCTTTTTAGTGCGATTCGCACTTTTTTTCTTGTAATATATGTTAATAGACTAATAAATATCTAATCATCAAGAACTGAATTACATTCTCTCACGTTTAACATACTGTGAATATGCGCTCTTAGATCAATGACTATTGGAATAACATCACATTAAAATTTACCTTTTGTCTTACTCATAACCTCACATTCTTATTACTATTTCCAATAATTATAGTACTTATCCCCATAATTGTTCACATCGTCTTCCAACTCATCCCATCTGGTTCTCGGTCTATCCTTCTCATCCTTGTTATTATTCGCGTCTCTTAGTGCTCGGAGTTCCTGAAGATCCTCTCTTAACCAGCGCTCAACAATTATCAACAATGGCGAGTCCATGTGCTGACGCAGTGCAGTTGAGGAGAGAGTAGATCGGAGTTGCACTTGTTCGGCTATAACAGCATCCAGTTCAGGGAAATTGGAAAATTCGTAACTGGCAATTATTCGTCCACGTTTCATATGCGATACACAAGTTGGCCAACTACCAAGTCCATCGAATATATGGGTTGCATAGACCTATAGGGATTGGGCACGAAGCGCTAAGAATCTCGTGTATCAATTCATCACATTCTCCAGACCTGATACTCACGATAGTAGCACCTCGTATCTCTGTCTCTCTTTTTAAGAACCTCAATAGATCTGCCCTAACCAACACATCCAGATCAACTGTAACCTCGTCCATTAATAGCAGCTCCCATGGCTTGATCAAACCCAAAACCAATTGCACTCTTCGTCTTTCCCCATCAGATACCTGGTGCATGTGCCAGTCGGGATTAATGTCCATGATTTGAATCAAGCGATCTCGACGTTCGGCATACCTATCACCATTCATCTTGGAAAGCAGAGTGGATACGCGGACGTCTCCACGGACAATGGGATTATTAACCCATTCTGTTCCTAGATACGTTATGCCCTGGTTACTTGGTATGTAGACGGGAATTTAATGAGTATGTGTGAATATGAAAGTGAAATCGAATCGAGTGCGGCCAAAGTTGTCTCATAACTCGTGTATGCGAAAGTAACAGAACTTACAGGCGGCGAGTCGTTGAAGGCATCCTTGCCAAAGACGAGGACTTTATCTCTGACCATTCGTTTTCCTGCCAGTATTGTTAATAGTGTCGACTTACCAGCTCCGTTCGCCCCTAAAAGCAGAAAGCATACTTTGTGAGTGTTTTCCAAAAGGTCACAAACGAATACCATTTTACATATATTCACCAACTAGCAAACACCTGCTGCCTCTCTGCAGTTTAAACTGAATGTCATTCAATATCAACGGTCCACCATAACTGAAATTCAATTTGGATATTTCAATTACGCAGTCCGGATGGCCTGTAGTGGTACTGTCAATTTGGGTCGACGTCATAGTTGGCTATGTAAAAGAGTGTTAGTCGCAGAAAATAAAAAACGCCGATTTCCCCAAATTCTCTCGACCACTGTATATTGACATCATGCTATGTATTACTTACCGTACAAGTTAAATGTAGTAACGAATATTTGAAACAGTCTCAAGTATGACTTTTTGCCTTAATATCGAGTTACAATAGTAACATTTATGGTTACGCACGAGAATGCTAGGTCACCTGACTTGATGATTGAAAGTAGCATCAAGCCGCCCTTACTTCAATTAAGACTGAATATTAAACCTCATTTGTAATTAAAGTGCGCGCTTCTTCACTCCCTATTCGAGCTTCGTGATTCCAAATAAGGGACAACAACAATTATTCTACTGCGGAATCGAAGGGGAATATTCTATTTAATAATTAAACAGAACTATCTTCGATTTGGTATCTTGACTAGTCACGTTCTGTCACTTGTCTCAAACTAATTAAACAATATTCGTTTTAATAAATACTTATCAATTCTCGTTCCTCAATCAAGAGTACTAGATCAACGGATAATTTATACAGCTTAAATGAGCCGTTTATTAATATCCGGTTAAATAATTATTATTTCGATAAAAGAAAGTAAATTTCGATAGCTTGTGTAGAAGACATGCAAGATATTTTAGAGACATTCTGTCTTGCACCTTCTTATTCCAATCAATGAAGGAACATTTCTCACCTCTGATGACATTTATTGGAGAGGCAATTAGTAAGCATTGGGGCGCTTTGGGAGAGCTTTTGGATATCCATTCATGGTTAAGTGTCTCGAAATTGTCTCGGGTGATACCTCCACGCCAATTTGAAACATTTTGTTAGCCAACATTCTTGTTGAAACTGAAGTATCTCGTCGTATAAATTGTCCCAACGCTCTTGAGGCATTTCCGGTAATCTTTTTGGGCCGACCATTACCTCTTGCATGATCTACAGTTCTGTTCTTTTTAATTTTTTTTATATTATCATAAATTGTGGAAAGGGGAATATTCGTGCGGCGATAAATTTCTGGTTATTATGAATGCCTTTGTTCCACAATTATAATATGGTTTGGCGTTGCGTTTCTTGCTCAGAAGTTGGCATTATGCTTGTATGTTAAATCTGAACGTTGCTTAAGGTTTAGAGTTGCAAACAACGCTCAAATTTAGCTCCCAAATTGGGCAGAAAACAAACGCGTGAGACGCGTTTACGTCGCATAAAAAAAAATCCGGTTTTTTTTGTTACACACTGTAGTTACTGCAAGCAAGAGAATCTCGTCTGCATATGGGAGTACTTATGAATCAATTGGTATAAGAAGAGTTGTTGAAATCTCTTTGCTCAAGCCTCATATTCAAAAGCCTTACCTTTAGCAAGAACCACTATGCTGGTAGAATCACACTGGCGCATCCTCAAACACAATTATAAACGTAATTGTAACCGACCTCGTTTGGATCGCTTAACACAGATTCTAACAAAGACAATCGTACATTTCTATCGTGGTGGGGAATTCAAGCAAGACTGGAAATTGCATTAGAAAAGGAAGTTAATATAGTACGACATGTTATACTGATATCGACAGATGGATTTGTTCATGTCCTACATCCATAGGAAGCACTTGTCTGTCTGTTATGCAAGCATCTTGAGATACGCAGCCGAAAATCCAAACTTTTTCCCAGGTATTGATCTGGCAAATAGTCACTGGAATAATATTCTCTTGCTGAATCTGAATCGAAAGGAAATGGTGATTATGATGAGTTGATATTAAGCTTACGCGATCGAAATGAGTTAATTGATCTTAGGAAGAAGACATTCGCGTCCTTCTTAGACATCGTTTCAGACAACGTTGACAATGATCCCTTATATAATAGGTATAAGAAACTGAAACAAACATTAACAAATGTGGCTGTGGCTTGCCGGGGAGCATTGAGAGCTAGAAGCAAAGAACTTGGGACCTCCATTTTTGGTTAAGATAATGTGGTATGTAGTTTATATGCCAGGAGGAAGTGTTGTTATAATAAATATAGTATATTTGATGTGGTTATTGCACAGTCGGGTGGAGAGCATTAGTTATTATGTTGCTACTAGTATCACACAAAGTTTTGTCAGCATGATGGCCACATGAAGATGTTAACTTTGCATATGCACTGATATGTTGATGATGAAATTTTCTATATTCTGAGACTAATGCATTATTTTTTTATATTAGTTTGATAGTGCCTTTGAAGGAGTCTGTACCTTATATGATATGGAGCAATCAAGATGGATGAGGAGAAACCACTTAGTTCAGATCAGATTAAGGATAATGTAGATATATTGAAAAGGAAACTCAGAAAAGACACTTCACCACTTTATCAGTGTTTATACTCTGCTATAAATGAGGCATTGGTTCGCAAATTAACTTGGAAGAATCCCTTAGCCAGTCAAGTTATTAGCAACAGGTCAGAGCTCATACAAAAATTACCTGTACATCTGCAAAAAGCATTTATGGTATGTAATCATTAATAGGCTGATTTTTCCGATGAAAGAATATATTTCACTCATTTTAATTATTTGCATAGAAACTGGCTCAGTTGATGAAACCCACACTTATGCCAAAGGTTAAAGACATGTGTAGAGAATTTATAACAAATACTTCCAGCCATAATTGTGACAAAAGATTGCCAGGAAGGTTAATCCATGATGGGACATGGAAAGCTCCACTTGCTCTGAATATATTCCAAACTGAGAAAAAATTAGTATTAGAAGATTTTAATTAGAAAGAGCAAAGATCAAAGAATTAGGGAACTAGAAGAAGAAATAAAAGAATTAGATGAAGCATTAGAATTAGAGGAAAACATTTCTGAATGTCATTTAGAGGCTCTTGAAGTGGCTAGACAATGGAGGGTAAGGGAAAAAATAACAATTTAGAAAAAGCTCAAGGAACCAAAAAATTTAAACTCCTAACTAAAAAGTAAAGAACAGAATTAAGCAAGTAAAGGAGAAAATTTTAATACCTATATTCTATAAATGATAAATAATGAAATTAGAATATCAAGCTATCAAGTTAAGGAGGGGAGATAAATGGCATAGGCATTGTAATTTCTGCCCTTTTGAAAAAGAAAGAAGTTTAACTGCTACTTACAAAATAATACAGGCAATAATGATTATATAAGGGGCAATTTTTTCTTCTTGTTCTTTTTTTAAAATACTTCTAATAATGCTGTAATTTTTTTGTTCCATGGTGGATCAATGCAAATTAATTTCATATTATATTTTTAAATAGACATAGTCCTATATTAATCTTTAGATAGGAATAGAAGTTTGCTACATAAATTTGTGTGCAAGTCATTGCTGTGATAATAAAAATGCTATTAGTCACATTAGTCAACTTTCAGCCACATCAGCCTCTCATTTATGTCACATAATAAAATGTTCCCTTTTACTTTGTCTGGTTTTGTTGCAGTCTGCCCCATATTAATATTATCTATTATTTAGATAACTATTGACTTATGTTTAATTTCCACTAGTTATGTGATGAGCATCAGATATTCTTGCCACAAATGTTTGGGTTACCATCAGATACAAGCAAACAAAAGTATTGTCTAATAAAATGTGAGGATGGATTATGTTATTATTATCAGTGTAAAGCACAAATACCTCCTGATTGGACTACAGCCAACAGATATTTATTATGGATAATGTGATCAATAAATATGATGCTTATATACAATGGATAGAGTACTCTCTATTGACAGATGTGCAAGAGATGACCTCGTTATGCCATGGATGCACATAATTTAGTCCACTTGTTCCACTTATTGTCCAACTGTAAACCACAGAGAAATAAATCATTCTGACAATCCAGTCTAAGTTTCAGTTCCCTCCCATACTAATACGTCCGACTTGCTGTTCCAATCGGTTGACTACAGTGGACTCAAACAGTTGTTGGATGTGTTGGGGGGTGGGGGGAAGGGGAATATGCGAAAATTTTTCGTGAACCGATCACAAGCCGTGATTGGGAGGCGATACACACATACAGTAAAAGGATGAGAGGTTTTTAATAGGGAGGGTATGACATCAATATTAATTACAATATGACATCAGTGTTAATTACAATAAATTAAATATGTAAGATTATATTGACACCATTCGATGGTACGTTCCTTGTGTTTAGAATCAAAAAGATCGGTTCGATAGATCGATACAAGGAGCTTTTTACGATTGGTTAAAGCGCAAATGCTAACCACTGGTAAGCCAAAGCCAACGTACATTTTCACATGCATTCTGTGAAAATAGTCTAGTTGATTGACAGACTGTTGTTACATTTTCTAAACCGTTCTTTTTGCCAAGTCAATTATCCGTCGTGAATGATCTTCCGTTCCACGTGTATTTAATATTAATATATTAATTGAATATTCCCAAATACAGTTATAAGATCACGTGAAATTGCTGACACTGCCGAACAAATTATACAATTCTTCGTCTATTTCATTAGTGTGAGTGCTTACTTTTGAAAACTGTACAGTATTACAAAAACACGCATCAGCTCAGATCATAAATAATATCGATTAAACATATACAATTTAGAATGAACAAGATATTGCGTGACAGGAATGGTTTAATAAAAGGGGAGGAGTGTTGTAATTTCTCCTTTATTGTATAAAAAAGGTTTCTCTTTTTTAAGTATTGAGATGAAGATTATTGCAAGTAAGTCGTCACATATGTGAACGGCCGAAGGAGAAAGCCAACGGTTTACAGTCTTATAAGGATTAGAACTAATGTTGTACAGTATTTATTTAATGTGTCGAGAATGCTCTAGACTATATTGGTGATCATTGCGTATGGATTACAACTAAATTAGAATTTACAGTTTTTTGTTTTATATTTATATTATACATTTTAAAAAATTTTTTCTTTCACTCAAAATTTATCTCAAGTATACATCAAAAGCTCCTCTAAATTTTCGCAGCTCTCGAATGTAAAATTCAGAAACGACCTCTTCGTTAATGATCTAACTAATGTCCTTTTGCACAACCCGTATTGTATAAGCTTAGCAATAGCTATATTCGAATATTCACACAAATCACCAAAGGCCTCAAATATGTGCAGCCATAACTCAAGTGGCAAATGAACGGTCTTTCTCATTCTTATTTCATTTCCTACTCGCTGCCACGGAAGGTTAAACGCACACATCCTCACTATACACAACAGCTTTGTTGCCGCTGCACAGTCTATTGTCCTGATAAGTCGGATATTCTGGTGTAAAAGATACATTATTCTGTCAACTATTTGCAAAGATAGTTCTTCTTGTGCTTTGTTAATAGTAGCCACGATTCGTCGATAACTTGTTTGAATGTTGTTTAATCCGTTGTCGTAAACAAACGTGAAAAGTTCAATGTTAGTGTTTACTTCAAGAGTCCTGCGTATGTCGATTAGGCAATTAATGTCCAGGTGAGAGGGATCAAGTGGACGTGCTCTGACCCGACGAAGCGTTTTGTTATACAAGAGCGAATCACATAGGGTGGAAATTGTTGCTGGTGTCATCCGACTGTCCGCAAAATACGCAGACTTTAATGAAACATTCGTCTTCAATGCTGCTGTAATTGCTATTAGTTCCTCTTCGGTAAAATCATTTCCTTCACATGACAATGCAGAGCCCATGAACGTTGGCGATGCTAGAAACGACGCTACGACAAGACCCTTGCTATCTGATGATTTTGACTTGATTTGAATTTCTAGACTTCCCGAGGAGTAGTCGGAGCAATATTGATTGAGAACATCGAAAAACTCGGTTAATTCAAATGCATTGACGGTTTCAAGATTCATAGTGACAACGTTTATGTTACACGTTTCGGTTGAATGTTTGAGGTTGAGACAGACCGCACAGAGGTGAAACACGTCCCAATTATATCTATAAGAAGATGATGCGGGATGTGAGTATGCAAATAAGTATGTTAAACGTTGATGATTAGTTTGAGCTCATTCATACCTTGTGCTTCCATCATCTTTTAATTCTTTCGATTCAAGTAATGTAGAATGTCTTGCTGATAGATAATCCGCCAGCGCTTGTTGCAACTTTTCCCTGTAATTTTCTTGAGCACTATTAATGTGCCTATAGGATATTCTCCATAATTTAAAGTATCCGTCTATTACGCGTGGACTCAATTGACATAATGGAACGCCGTCTATAAATGAATTATACGCATCTGGCTCTATATGAGGAGATACAAACATATGAGATGATACTGTATGCAAAACAGAACGTTCAATTCGCAATGTACATACCTGGATTTAGTTTCACTTCGACCCGTGATGGGACGTCTTCCTTAAATAGATTATCAAAATCTAAATCTAAATCCTCCATTATTCTTTTTAACGTTGATGTTGAACGTGTACATGTAATTTTGGACAGTGAAAGCATTCTTATATTAGTAACCAAATTACTACGCCGGGCCGCAGACAAAACTACAATGCAAATTAAGATCTATGTACAACTATATTTAATATACCATATCTGAAGTACACAGGCATCATATTTTGATTCTGCTTATTGTGATTGCAATTGGTTTATTTGCTATTTGTTGACTGTGTTACATTGTATTGTATTGTCAGAAAACAAATACAATATTATTTCGAATAATGTGACACTTGTTTCAATCAACAAGACAGAATGCTCTTCAATTACAATGTTCTCAATAGACCGACTCGTGACCAAAAGTCGAACAAAAGAAAACTAACGACAATATTGTGCGAGTTTCTTTTGCAGGTCAGTAGGTGCGTAGCAATTAAATTTGCGTAATGTGAAAAGTAACCACTTATGGCATGCTGCGCCTCCGTGACTCTAAAATACGACTGCGGCCGTTCTTTAGAGGGACTGTGATATTGACAGACTGGCGAATCATCGTCTGAGTGTTACCCAGCCGTGGGAACATATATAACACAATGCACACAAGTTGTGCGGAGTACGATGGTGTCACTTTTAGTCGAAATGTGTCATTCTTACTTCTCAATATTCTAAAGACCAAGGCCAAGTTACGATATACTTTGTTGAACGTAATCTATTGGGTTTTTCCGCGACAGCACAAAACGCTATAATTAGTCTATATTTAATTGTTCTTCTAGAAATAGTTAAAAGTGCGTTGC